AATAACGAAGAAATCAAATAGCAAATAAAAATTGCTTTATGGATATGTTCAAATGTTTTAATACTGCGGTGTACCAGTAACGGTGGTGGAATTAATTTAATGCATTTCTCTTTTGTCACGCGCTATATAATCTTAGCCCGCGAAACCCTCTTGAAAGTTCATATGTTCACAAACAGCCGATAATATATCAAGTTCGATGCTTAAGAAAGTATTTTGAGCATTTTAAAGGCAGCGCCGCGCTTTCTGCACTGGGGTGATTTTTCTTTGGGGAAAAACCGTGGGTAAAATTAGGAAACATCAGCTGATTTCCAAAACGCACCATGACACTCCCGAGGAATTGACAATGTACCATAAAAAATAATCTTGCGCGATTCGTCAGTCTAGTGACTTTCACTACCTAGCCCGTAGGCAAAATACACTACTAAACTTTGCTGAACAAACCAACGGTTCACAGAATGTAAAAAATAATAAATTGATACACTGATCGATGGCTTGGTGAATTATCTAATTTCCCGTTTGTTTGCATCATACCCTAAATACATTTAAAAGGACGTTCGACCGCCGCCGTTATGAACTTAATTCAACCAAAACCACTAGCACTCTTCGATATCGTGGCTTTCAGACCTTCGACAAGGCTCGTTACGAAAGTAGGCCCGATTAAGATTTGCAACATGTGTAAACCGTGCGGTCATCCGACGTTTCAAAACCTTTAATGTTTCCTCGTTAAAAAATATTAGAATTTAATCAAAATTTTAATCTTAGGTATCTATCATTTGCGGCCGATAGCTACTGTCATTCGCCAGTTTTATATTAGTTATGGTCGGAAGTCATTACAATCCCACGAGACGTCCTTAAAAAAACGTGAAATTGGCGGTCAGTCGTATCTAAAATAAACAACTGCAGTTAACAACCGTTCTCCGACGGCCTGGGAATACATCCTCTGACGAGTGTAATTCGTTCCACCGCCGGGAACGGACCCAGTTAACGGTCATATGACAATTAGAGGATTAGAAGCAAAGCACGCGACCGGCCTGCCAGGAATGTAGGACACCGCGGATCTTCAAAATTATCACACCTATTCTGCATTTATGGCTTTACTGTATAACTGAATTAAACTTGTTCTATAGTTCAAATATAGCTATTTCAACACCGATGACGATTCATGTGAGGATACTGACAAGTGTAAATTCCGGACGACTCATTCAGGCAGAAAATGTAAGCTTCTTATCAAATGATGAGATCTGTTGTAAAGAAGCTCAGCTCATCACAATACTACGCAGAAACAGAATCGATTATCACAACAGGACACAGTTAACAATCCATACACATATTCCTGCACATGTTAACTTGTTTCAAATATGGCAGCAGAACGGAGGCTATGCACGTTCACGTCATCCATTTTTTAATAGTTTTTAAGCACGCTATCATTAACTAATAACAAACAGAGAGGTTTTCTGAATCTAAATCGTTCAACGAAAGTTAGTTATTTTAATACATTTGATAATAATAGCACTTATTTCATCCAGAAGTGATGTAAAGCACTGACACACGTCAATTATGAGATATGTCTGTGAGGTCTGCGGAATGATAAACCCGACAGACCAAGGTTGATAGGTAACGACCAAATTTCAAACAGACAGTTAATCAAATCCAACATCACATACATTTTGAAATGTCCCCGTTTTGAACCTGCCAAATAAATTCATATCCAACTGCTGGGTGTAATTCTTTCAAAGTTCAAAGTAACCATCTCCATTTGATAGCTGTGTTTACATTTGAAATGGCAGGTTTTGAAAGAAATGTCGAACCCATTTACAGGTCGGAGTTTCCGGTTATTTAAAGTTATTGGTTTTTTTTTTATTTCTAACAACCTTAACAGAACTGTATTTTGCGGTTTCTTAAAAATGTCACGAGTGAAAGTCCTTATTTCAATAATTACAGTGCGATAATGGCCAAGGGACGACATACGTCTGAACATAACTGTCTGCGGTATTTTGGTCGCATAACTATATTTTTTTTTATAATCGTATGGTAAATGCCGCTCCAATCGTCAAACAATCCAATATAAAAAGTAAACGCGCTTATCCTTTCCTAATGAATTCGATATTTTCATATTTCCAACGTTAAGAAATTCGAGAAATACTGTATTACTTACAAGTAAGTGGACAATCATATATCATAATTAGGCAATTAAATGCGTGATAAATTTTGTTAATGAATAACTATAAAGAGTAATTGATATAACTTATAATTTGTGGTGTTTAGTGACCATTAGCCAAAGATTATTTGGAGATAGTGAAATGCGGTCTGGTGTGACGTAGGTTTTAGAAAAACATTTTCTTTATCCTGCCCACGTTTCGAACTTTATTGAGATCATCTTCAGGGCTTTTGTTTGTGTTTGTTTTTCGTGTAGATGTGTCATTCAAGTGTCTGAGAGTGCCCACACGACACATAATGAATTACACATGTACACAGAAAACAGACTCTTTGAGCCCTGAAGATGATGTAAATAAAGATCGAAACGTTGGCAAGATAAAGAAAATGTTTTTCTAAAACCTACGTCACATCAGACCGCATCTCAGATCTCCAAATAATAATAACTTATAATAATATACTTTTACGTATTTCCTATTTTAATTATGATAAAAACCGAGCGTTCAACCATGACAATGTAAATGAACAGTAGTAAGAACGGAAGTATCTGGAATTTTTAATGACAGAAAACTAATAAATTCCTCTTTAAAAAATAAATAAATAAAATAAGCTGCAACGAAACAATAAATAAATCAACGCATATGCTTATCAATAACGTTCAATCTAAAATCTGATAACACTCTCATTTTGAATCGTTCTGACTGCCCACACACATATAACTAGGTCTACATAGATTAGCATGTCAATTAGAAGGAACTATGCCAATCTCACCTTTACCGGAACTCGTGATAGTCGGATTATTCCCTGCTATGGGAATGGTACAAAGTGATGCAACTCCGACTTACCTAAAAAGGAGAAAAAAATAATTAACATACACATATGATAATGCTTTAGATCTAAATAACATTATTTAACGACAGCATAACTGTGCATTGGCTAATTATAAGAAGAGAAGGTGAATAAAAATAATTGCTTTATCGGAAAGACCATTACAAAAACATATATTAACCAGTTATTAAATAATCAATTAAGATAAATAGCTAATAAATCATAGATAGAGAAATGAAGAACATCATTTACTTTCCTTTGCGATCATAGCTTGCTTCATTAACAAATCTATGATTTAAGTGTGTGGTGTTTAGTGACCGTAACTTAATGATTATTTGGAGGTCGTGAGATGCGGTATCTGGTGTGACGTCGGTTTTAGAAAAACATTTTCTTTATCGTGCCTACGTTTCGATCTTTATTAAGATCATCTTCAGGGCTCAATAAAGATCGAAACGTTGGCAGGATAAAGAAAAGGTTTTTCTAAAACCTACGTCACACCAGACCGCATCTCACGACCTTCAAATAATCTATGATTCAAATAAAACTTTTTTCCGATTGATTACACAGTTCTCGACTTGTTACCTTATACTTTCATAAGTATTTATTGAACAGAAAAAAATTCTTTATGCTTATTGAAATTGAAGAAATTTTCTATCATTCATTGTTCATAATTTGGTCTGACAGAGGCGTTTTTTGGCTTCTCGCAACCTTCAGTGGCAGTTATGAGTCAAATGAGGTCGAAAAATAGTACAGGGTGATATAATCTAGCGTAAGCGACATCTTTTCATTCCAAACAAAGGCTCCAATTTAAACAGTAGTATTTAACTATAAAAAGATATCAATTTTTAGTCATGAATATCTCCGCAGATCGACCAAGCCCAAATCACGATTAATTTATTGTTTATTTATAAATGTTGCAAATCTGTTCGTTTAAAGGTTCCATCTGCTCTCACACACTGAACTAGCGACAACAAGCGTGATCTAATGACTCATTTTTTCCAGTTCAAGCACTTCTTTGCCCTGGATACCTTCGTGACAAGAATTGGGAAATTGCCAGACCCGCTAGAAGACACGTAACAGGAGTCTCCGTCCTACGAGGACAAAAGCTGTGGCAAAGAATAGAACAATACCACCTGCAACAGAATGTTCCGTCGACACACTTAACTTTATAAATCTGGGTGTGTGTTTTCTTAAAAAGAATCCCACTCGATATGAATAAAATTGGAGGTGTTGAATTTTTTTAATTATAGTAAGTTTTATTAAAGGATCGGAGAACACGACGTGCAGTCACTAGCTATTAAAACAAACAACAATATTTTCACGACTTTTATGTTAACTATATCAACTGTGAGATGTTTTGTGGAGGTCAGTGCGATGGACCTGAGGATTGGTAGTTTACGATCATTCCGGTCTGTCTACCCTCGCTGAATTAGTACATCAGACACGTTTCGCCATTTCATCATTTTCAATGAAAGGCTGTATAGACACAGTGTCCTTTTGATATAACCAACATATTATATATTAATCGTAGATAAACAGGTATGTGATAATGATACGTAAATCAAGAGACTGTTCTAATTCTCAATTTTATTGTGACTAATGCATACATAACCATTTTAAGAAAGATCAACAGGCTAAACCATAGTGAACTGCCGTAAAATTTGCTATGATGTTAATTTGGTCCCGAATATACCATTCCAGTATTTTTAATGTATGTATGTTGCCATCCCAATTTCCAATGAAACTTGAAACTGACGAGGAAAACTCATAATAATTCATAAATGTACGATAGAAAAAATCTTTAATTATTCCTGCCAATATTTTGATAATTTTTAAGGACAGAAAAACACTTAGTTGATTTGTTTCCCACCGTCCTCGCAGTACCCCTGAAACTTTCAGAAAAATACAGTCCGTAGAAACTCCTAGAGGTGTAACTGCTGAAAATAATGCTTCATCCATTCCAACATATATAACAATTCAAACCGTGAATAAAATGACGATGAAAAAACAAAAACTTAGGTTATTCCCAACACGAAGAAAGTAAAGCACATGATGCACAACATATGTAAACAAATATAAAGACTTTTATTTCGGTTCAACACACCAAAAAAATTCCGTTTAAATTACTTTACAATCTACACTTCACTCTCAGCACAAACAATTCTACACAGCGACACAATGGTAAGTCCAATAGCTGTTGTACATGAAAATCACAACTGCCAACATTAAGAACCATGCTTGCAGAATGACACAAGACTGATAAGAGAAAGCTATTTTCTTAATAAAATTGTTATCGTTTCACTTATACTATAGTATGAGAGGTTATACTCCTCATGTATAAGTACATCTTGAACAATATTGGTTCCTATAATTGTTTTCATTTAAATATATCTTTGCACACATCGTTGTTCAGATGGGAAATAGTATAAAACAAAGAAACTTGGACATAATCACAAAAACGTTTTTGTTTTATACAGAGGGAAGTCATATCGGTTCACGTCGGGCAAGCGGGTGTACAGTTGGGCGGGATATGCTGGGAGTTATACTGCCTGGAGCATGGTCTGGATCTCTACGGCCGGCTCGGCAACGAGGACGATCTGAGGTCGAGAATGATGAAAACAAACAGCAATCTTCACGAAAGCGGTGAGCGGACCAAGTCTATGGACGAAGGAGTGAATCACACTCTATCTTCGACGAGCTCGAGTTCAAGGAAGTCCAGGACGGCCGCCGGATTCCCATCGTTTTTCGTCGAGATGTCAGAAGGCAATTATTCACCGAGGGCGGTCATGGTCGATCTGGAGCCGACGGTGATCGGTAAGCAAGCATAAAATTAAAATAGTTGACCAATTTTTTAAGCACAATGTATTTTTTAGATGAATTGAGAACGGGACCTTTAAAACATTTATTTGCTCCTAGTTCCCTTGTTAACGGAGTGGAAGATGCAGCTAATAACTATGCTCGAGGCCATTATACTGCAGGGGGACAGATGAAGGAAGCTGTTATGGAGCCAGTCAGAAAAATGGCAGAAGCCTGCGATAAACTCCAAGGTTTTATGATCTTCCATTCTTTCGGAGGTGGGACTGGCTCAGGGTTCGGAGCCCTCCTTACTGAAATATTTAATAAAGAATTTCTCAAAAAAAGTAAACTGGAAATTGCCATTTTCCCCTCACCAACGGTAAAACTCACTTCTTCGTTATTTTGCACAATTACTATAATTTTTTTTTTCAATTTCTAGTTATCCACTGCAGTCGTGGAGCCGTACAACGCAGTCCTTGCGACCAGTTTCACTTTGGAACACACAGACTGTGTCTTTCTCGCCGATAACGAAGCTATGTACAACATTTGCAAGTCGAAATTAGACATCGACAGCCCTTCTTATTCGAATCTGAACCAACTCTTGGCGCAGACGGTGAGCTCGATCACGGCCAGTCTCCGATTTCAAGGGACACTCAACGCGGATTTCACAGACTTCCAGACGAATCTAGTTCCTTTCCCGAGGATCCATTTCCCCGTCGTCAGCTATGCGCCGATAGTGAGCAAGAGCAGATGTACCCACCAGACGCTTTCCGTTGCCGACATAACGAGCAAATGCTTCGACAACGCCAACAGGCTGGTCAAGTGCGACAACGAGGCAGGACACTACATGTCCTGCTGTCTGCTGTACAGAGGCGACGTCGCGTCTAAAGACGTTAACGCCGCTATCTCAAACATAAAAAACAAAAAAGGCGTCAATTTCGTCGATTGGTCGCCGACCGGTTTTAAAGTCGGCATAAACGGCTCTCCGCCCTGCTCACTCGACACGGCCGATATGGCCAACGTCCAAAGGGCGGCATGCATGATCTGCAACACGACGGCGATTAAGGAAGCTTGGTCCCGCCTCAACGCGAAATATCACGTCATGTTGAAAAAGAAAGCCTTCACCCACTGGTACACCGGCGAAGGCATGGAAATGGCGGAATTTCACGAAGCCCAAGACAACATACTAACGCTCGAAGACGAATACGAACTTCTTATGACTGGCAGTTAAACGAAATACCTAAACAAATACGTTTTTCAATTTTCGTCCACCAAGAAGTATTCTGTAACAATAAAACTGTAACTCTGTCTTACACTAATTTTAATGGACCGTTTTCTGAATTTCGTTTACTAGATAAATTACAACTTAAGATGTATGTTGAAATGTATTGAAAAGTAAACTTTATTAGGTCATTAAGTCCCCTTGAAAAATTAAATACGAGTACAACATATTTTACAGAGATCCCAGCCTGACAAGCCTATCCAAAAATGGAAATTAAATTAAAAGACTAATAAGATTAATAATAGTGCCAATTTATAATCAGGTAAGAGATAATCAAAGAAAGGTGGAAAGGGATGGGGCTCGGTTGATAGAGTATGGAAATTCTATTGATTGGAGGAACAGATGAGGATGGCACGACTAAACACATCTAATGTTTAGGGGGTTAGAGGTCAGAAGAGTTGGAGCAAGTTTGACGGATGTACAGAGGGTGTGAAGGTAAGAAGAGCATATATGTAGGGAGAGGAATGGGAAGGCATCATTGATAGAGGAAGAAGCTAACAGTATTGCTTTCGTTAGGAAGGGTTCAACCACTTCAAGTCCGTGGACATGTGGGACCTACTTGGGAAGCCGCAGGCAAAACGTACAAAACAAGTTATTAGACGTTTAAGCTTATCCTCAAGCTCCCCGTGAGTCACCTGTTATGTTTTCGGGTATCGGCCGTTGGCATTAAACAATCAAACAGGGCAACATTTTTCTTCTCACAAAGTATCAAAAAGATATCCTATAAACTATTTGTTTTTGTGACGATATGGTAGTCCACTTCACCAAATGAACATCTTAACAAATAAACAAACTGTAAAGACTGACCGATTAGAGGTTTAAATCAACAAATGACTAATATGACAGTTCCTCGACTCGCAAACAGTCCAGGGTAATTTCGCCGTTTACTTCCATTTAGACTTAAACCATTGAAACATTTAGTCGGTCTAAGTGCTAAGGATTCAACTCAAAGGTCGTTTACAGGAAAATTACTTCAGGAAGTGACAAAAATTAACATGCTAAAATATTAACGCGTTTAGAAATCAACTTGTCCATAATACATCAAAACAGGAGCGATTATGTTGGAGCAGTCTCAAGAGCGAGGAAGAGAAAGTTGGTGTTGTAACCGATTCGCCGAAGAATTAGTGCCAGGTGTCAGCAGATCCTTCCTAACCGTTGATTTGTTTGAACATAAAAATTAGAACCGACGGAATGATTTATAAACCAGTTTACAGTTGATAAAATATTATGAAATAGCATATAAAATTACAAACCTCTAAACAATAGACTAATCAACGTTCGATACATGCAATTAAAAAGTCGTTTTGTTGTTTGAAACGGAACGACTGGATTTAAACAATGTGTCAAAGTAAAAAGAAAGAGAAAATGACAACACATTACTACGTGGCTACACGTGTTGCACCCGAGGGTTTAATGACTAAAAAATTATTGTTCTATTTCAGAGATGTCTAGCTCATTTACCAACACCTGACATCCTTTTATCTTTAAAAGCGTTGAGGACATCCTTCTTTAGTTCGGATTCAACCCTACACGATTTATTTTAACCTATTTCCTCTACCCAATGTGATTTACTTTGATGTCCCTAATTTTAAAAGTTTTAATAGCCTGAAACTTTAACGACTATACATTTTTTTAATCTCTTAAGAATAATAACAAAATGTTTCGTTCAAACTATTTAAGAACTACTTCGCCTAATGAAAATAATAAATAAATAATGAAAATGAGATTGCCAAACAATTTTTTTTTTTAAAGTTGGCGTAAGTTTCTGTGACGTTGTTCATACTTGCTTCGTATTCTCTTGTAAAAAAGAAAGTTCGTACACTGGAGGTGACACCTTCCGATCAAACTGCTGTCAAGGGTTATCTACTTGAGAACACCGAGCAACTTACGAAAACTGTCCCAACAGATAATTTTCAAAATATTTTTTGTTGACACTTTTATGATTTACATACATGATAACAATGTTTAACGACCTGATTGATAAGTTGTTAAACATTAATGTCTAAATATTATTTTTTGTAGCCGATTAAGAGAAAAACTATAAGCTAAACGTAACTTCAACAATTATATGACCCAGAAGCGAGCTTCTTATCGATTAAACTATAAATCTAAATTGCTTTGCCACGAGAGGATTATAAGAAAGACTTAGAAATGTACGAAATGGAGGGGTTGCAATGATAGAAGTGGGGAAGGGTGGGTTTATATCCAGGAGGGTGTGATGGAGAATGTGAAGTTTAGCAAAATCAGATGGAAAGGAAAAATCTACATTCGGAAGAAATATGATCACTTGCATCTTTACAAATCAAGTAATTAACTACAAGCACGAGTATTCGAGTTGGACATACGACTGTAGTTTTTGCGTCTCACTAGTTTTTTTTTATGTAAATCATCACGAAGTTCTAATATACGCTAACTACCCTGCTAACGTGCCTTCTTGTTAACATACTTCAGATATTCAAGGCACTGTACTTAATCAGTACAACACGCTCGACTGTCGATTTTTCTGGTCTGGAATAAAAGTAAAAACATTTTGCTTTACACTAAACTCAAAATTATCGTTTTCACACCGCTTAAATTACATAATACTGGAAGGAATTAAAATTGTCATAATACCTAACGATAATAATGACCCCTGCTACTAGTCGACGGAAAAACTCAAATTTAAATTGTAAAAAAATTTCAAGAAGCACAGGAGGAGGAGAAAGTCAATTAAATTACGTAACATCACACAGTGGTCTGCTGACTTTCGACTCGAAGCAGCAATCGCTGTCCCAGATTTTCAAGGAAGGTATTTTTCGCGCAAGTTCAAGCAAAGACAGAAGGCTCACCTTAATTTCGTGGTACTTTTCTTCTAGATAATAAGCTATATTTCTAGCCTCCTCGTACTTTTTCGAAATGTCCAAATACTTTTCGTAATGCCTCTTGAACAATACGAATCTGAAACATTCAATCATAAAAATATAAGTTGACTTTTTTATATCACAATAATTCGAACTGAATTGAATAAATAAATAANGGCGTATATATAATTATTTTTAATTCAAAACGAGGTTGAGAGAAAAATTATCGCCATGTTGGGACCCACAACATCCGTATCTCTAACCACTTTAGCTCTCGTGACTTCGGTGCCCGAAACGGGGTGCTGTTAGTGAAGTGCATATTACATCAATCTGTATGTTTTAGCTTGTCACTTCAATTGTCGCCGATAATCTAATGCGATGACACGAAATTTGAACATTTGCCTAAAAAGAGGAAAATTTGAAGAAAGTAGGTTGAGATGAGTTGACATCTCGGGGGCCGAAGTCACGCTAGCTCAAGTGGTCAGAGTACCTGCGTATACATCCGGATGTCGTGGGTTGTAGTCCCGCTCGATAATTTTTCGTCTCAACCACACTTTACATTTTTTTTTAAATTAATCAATTTACTTATTTTATTACAATAAACAATCTTAACTTTTTCTCAACTGAACTCAAAAGTTTTAACTCAGAAAAATAAGGCACAGTTTTATAACACACATACACTGCTCCACAAAAAAAATGGCGCACTTTGAAATTTTGGGTTTTTTTGTAGTTGCTTTTTCAGTACTATTCGATATATTTATTATAATTCAGGTATTTATTAAAAGATTTGGTTAGTGGAGAAATATCTCCCAAAAACAAACAAAAAATTAAAGAAAAAATCACTTTTGTGTCTGAACAAAAAACAATATAAAACTAACTTAACTATATTTAATAGGGTGTACTTCTCTTACTCTTATTACACACTCTAAACTTCTCAGCAATCTTTTAACCATTACTTAAGGAATTTCATCCAAAATCTCAACTAATGTAACTTTCAGCTCAACTAAGGCTGTAGGAGCATTATATTTTTACCAACGTCCGAGCTCATCCCAAAGGTACTCCATGGGGTTCAAATCAGGAATAGGGGCTGGGCGTCTTAAGGTGTAAATTTTGAATATTAAATGTACTGCATAACACTGGTGGCGACAGTTGGTCTTGTATTTCTTTCATAAAGAAAATTTTTTCGCCAATAAACCAATGTGGCGCCACATATTCCTCAAGAATTTCTGTCACGTAGATTTCTGCATTAAGTGCCGTCCTATTAAAAAGTGTAATTACGTTTGTGCCTACAAAGAAATTCCACTCCACACTATAACTGAACCATCTCCGAACGACTCTCTTGCGGCAATGTTGCTTTCGTTGTTGAGCTCTATAAACTCGAAGACGTCCATCTGGTTGAAGCAGAGTAAGCAGTCCCGACGATGGTCTCTGGTTAGCGCTGGACCCGTTGCTGGCCTTATAGGTTGTAGCCTCACTTCTACAAATCTTCTTGTTTCAGCTCTAAAGGACATATCCCGCACAGTTGGAAGTCTGAAACTTTTCAGAAACAATGGGAAGGCCATGTCTCAAAGTGTAAAATCTGATAACTCGTCAGCTGGTCCCTTTGTCCTTGGGCTTCTCGATCCTGGTCTTTGAGTACACCTTGCGATCTCCTTGTACCACTGAATGCACGGCAACCGTCGTTTTAGGCAAATCTAAAACTCTTGCAGCGTAACGGCCATTTCTTCCCTGCACGGGGCTGATTATTGGCATTTTCGTAATAGTTAATCGTGAACAAAGGCATTTTTATAGGATTAAATGCCCTTGGTGATGGTTTATATTGTTTAGATTTTAAATCAAACTATGAATTAAGCTGTTTGGTCTCACTATCCTAGACAAAAACAAATACTTTCCGTCTAATTATAATTATTAAATCCTTTTTAAAGTAATAAAACAAAAAATATGGCCAATACATTGTTAAAATAAAAAAGAAATCAAAATTTCATAGTGCGCCTTTTTTTGTGGAGTAGTTTATAAGCTTTTGGTGATCTTACATCCTACAGGGAAATATTTGATATATCTTAAAAATACGATAGAAAAAAAATTAAAAATCAATTTGCTGTTTGAAAAAAAGAATCATGGATAATTCAGAAGAAATTATAAATAAATAATATTTAAAGTATTTACCTGTAGAAATCGTTTTCAGAAATAATGTCTTTGATGCTGTCCTCAGGATCTATTCTGTCGTGGATGTACTGGCTCGTCCTTTTCGATTGGACTTCGGAACCGAAATCACCAGTGATTTTCAAAGGTGGTTTATCCATGACCGTCGGAGGTGGTGACTTCAAAGTTTCACTGTCGCTGAAGTACACCGGTAGGCTTGAAGGCGCCAGGTCGTCTTCGTATACTACGCACGCTTCCCTCTGGATCTGGAGTGAAGCTTCGCTGATACCGTGTTGTATCTCGGGCGGATTTATCGGCGCACTTTGAAGCATGAGGTCGTCGCTTTTGCTGTGCTTCAGATCGCAAAGTCCCAGGCCACCGGGCCTGTCTTCGACGCCTGTGTAACGACCGATCACAGGGCTTCTACACCCCTCCCGCAAGCCTAGCCTGAAGCTGTCGCTGTGCCCTCCGGGACTTGAAGGTTGGTACATAAAATCCGTCATCGCCTCCTGGACACACAATCAAATAATCAATTATTAATCTTCATGCCTGTTCTTATGAAAATAGCTATAAGGTAAATACATATTTTATCAAGTTTCAACTAAAACTCTTTGCACGCCTTAGTTTATGCTTTTGCCATTTACCATGAAAGTTTATATTTCATTAAATCGAATAAGCAATTCATGACCCTTATAGCCACAAGTTGCACAAATGAGATCACGTTTTCAAAATGTTCAATCTAGGTAGAAAATTATTACATGTATTAGCAATCGAGATTCGAAACACGACAATCGAGAATGAAAGCACGTTGCGAAACAACTTTATCGCGGATTAGGATTTACCTTTATTAAGAAGATTGATTTATGTTTTTTCTCTTTTAAAACACCTCGAAAAACTCAATTTTTATTTATACCGAATTTTCGACCACACGAAATTAACTAAATGTTTGTATCATTAATGTAATAGGTAATGATCTTTTAAGTAATGATTTGTTAAGTAATTCCTGTCATTCAGGGTGAGCTTAATGTCCAAGTACCGGAGAGGGGTCAAACCACTTTGCTATAAGTTTTCAACCTAAACTGCTCAAAAATGTATAGGGATATTTGTAATTTATTCCTACTCTGTTAATTTTAATTAAATTAACCGATATATTCTTGTTAGTAGGATAAAACAAAACAAAAAAATACAAACCAAAAACAAACAAATGTTAATCCTCATTTTTCATAACGGATTTACTCAAGAATAGTAAACATGAAGATTACTCATTTTGTAAACACCTATTCTCGTATTTTCTCCATTTTAATCTAGTTGTACTCCCTTTAACCATGGAAAGACATCATCATGAACCAGAAGTTCACAATATTATTGAGAGAATGAGCCATCGAGGTCACAGGTAAGTAGCAGATCTCAGAGGCAGTTGGGGTTTCTAAGAGCGTGGTCTCCGAGCTTTAGCCTAATTCCGAGAGGCAGGAGTGCCAATAAGAGACCTGGTAGTGGATCTCAGCGCACTACGACACTAAGGGAGGACAAAAATGTCCTTGCCGCAAGACGGAACCCTTTCCAGTGCCCGCCAGATCCTAAATGAAGTACAAGATGTTTTGACAAGGCCTTTATATTACGAATCGTTTGTGGGAAGTTGACCTTACATCAGCCCCTTTGAGACGACTTGCAGCAACAGCCCGCCACGAGCAATTTAGGAGAATATGGTGCAGCAAGCGCCTAGAAGAGAACACCAATTGGAATGCTATTATGTCTGTATATGACAGCAGGCGCTGAAGAGTGCCGATAACAGGGGCTGCGTATAATGCCCCAGTTCCCTACCTTCAGTGCAATTTGGAGGATGTGTAATGTCTGGGCTGGGATTTACACTGGAAGACGAACTGAACTCCATACTGTTGAAGGCAACCTCACCGCAGACCGTTTATGTCCAAGACATTATCGAAGAATACACCCCTCAAACCAGGGATCCCATTGGCAGGGATTTTCGATTTCTGGATGAAAATGCCAGACCTGGGAAGCAGAGTTGTTCATCTAGAAAACCTGGGAATTTCCCATCTGCCCCTTCCCCCATTGTCTCCAGATGTCAATCCCATTGAGCACAGGTGGGTCCGTTGCAGAGAACATCACAATCCGCAGCCAGTTGGCCGGCAACAACTGAGTGCAACGTTGCAACATCTATGGGGTGAAATTCCTTATGAAAGTAGTGACAACCTTATTAACAATATTAACAGGTGCACAAAAGTTTTAACTAACAGAGGACATAATACACGGTATTAATTGTTTAAAAAAAATTATTGCGTCCAATAAAAAAAATTATGGAATTAAAACTTTTTATTTTGTTATTTTTCAAAATCCCTTAATTAAATTTTCCTTCAGTAAAAAACATAATATTTTCTAATAAATTTTAATACCTTTTATAATAAAAATGCTAGGGCAAGTAAATACGACAAAATTGGCAATATTTTCATTTTTGAGAAATTTATAATTAAATTTAAAAAGCCATGGGATCCTAAGAGAATCTGCTTTGCATGGGCCTTCACACTAGCACAGGACATATTCCGCTGTTTCTTATTCTTCCTGGCAATATACAGGTTTGTTTCTGCTGATCCAAGTCTACACAAACGATTCCGGAGTCTGCAAGACCAACAAACATTCTAACACGTCCTAGGTTTAGTATGTCTGCTGTTACTTTCTGCAATTTGATGAACTTTTTCTCTTCTGTTCTGGGCTAAAATTCCCACTGAACCAAAGACTTATTCTTAACGCATTGAAGGTCCGAAATATTCGTGTGTCGCATCTATTGGTACATTTCAGTTGTTTTGTTAAGTCCAGTACATTAGGCAAAACGAACTTATAACGCATTGATGGAACTAGGTTTTTAGCAATTTGGCGTGCCACAAAAAGTTTCAGTACCGATAAGATTCCACATCAAACATTCCTTGTACGCTCTAGCACCCAAAAACAAATAATTTTGTTGTTTTCCTCAATGTCTGACAAGGCCTTGATGCGAACGTTGTTTCACATAATCAGAAAACTGTTACGCAACTGGTAGAATCAATTTAAAGTCTACAGATTTTTAAAACAACGAAGTTTTCTTGAATTAATGATGTTTAAGGTTTTCTTTTACATTATTCGTTTCAATGTTCCTACTAAGTATTCTTTTATACGTTCCAATAAGACAAATTACAACGAATCATAAAATTCCTTTGATTGCTAGCGCGAGAACTGGGCAAAATAAATTTTGGACCATACATTTTCATCTAATATACTTATATGAAATCACGTAATAGCCAATGTAACAAATTTTATTTTTAGAAATTGTGAATGTTCTAAAATAATTCCTTTAAAGAATCAAAATTGCAACTAAAAAAATGTAATAATTTTTATTTTTAGAAATTGTGAACGTTCTAAAATAATTCCTTTAAAGGATCAGTTCAATTTAAAAAATGTAATAATTTTTATTTTAGAAATTTTGAACGTTCTAAAATAATTCCTTTAAAAGATCAAAGTTGTAATTAAAAACTTATAATTTGCAAACTGTTTTTAATAAATATTTTATTAAATCTATAAATTTATAGATATTTTTCTATTTTTTTTTAAATTATACTAAAGAGTCTAAAAACTAAAATGTGACACTTCTCCGTGTAGTCTGCCAGGTGATGAACCTGTAATTTGGCCATTACCGATCATGCTGGTCCGCCTATCCTCGATATGTTGAACGTGGTGATTGGATGTTATTGATAAGCTATTCCAACATTTATATAAATCCATTTGCGTTTTAGTGGTCAATTGACCAGGTTACTTCTTTCAATGAATTATTCTTTCTATTTAATTTCTTGATTGAGATAAAAAAGTTTATATAAATATTCGTCTTTTCTTTTCTTGTACATTTTGAGGCATTCAACAGCCTCCTCCTCGATAACATTTATTTGAGCATCACTAGACGACCCTCGAGGGTACTGTCAGTCATCAGTTCAGGCTCAAATAAATATTGCTGAGAAGGAGAAATGCTTCTAAATTCACTTTAAAAAAAAATAGATTAACGTTGAAAAAGCTTGCCAATATCACTCAAACCACGTAAAAATCAACATGAAAATTTCTTGCCCTTGTCATTCGCGTTTCAGCATTTCGAAATCATCAGTGTTCAGTTGGTCTGACAGAACAGGATGATCAGGAAAAAAGGACAAGATTATCTAAAAATCTTACAAAGCTACACCATACCATTTTGTGTGTTGATTCTAAAAATTGTAATTTCCCTTTTTTTAAACTTTCATGTCCAGGTTTATAACTTTTACATTTAAGAAAAACAGCCCAAGCATTTCACCTATTTTTTCCAGTGAGATTTCTTATTTAAAATGCTTAATGGTATTACCAAGGGTACAGGGCGACAATCCACGAAATAGTCGGTGGACTGAGACCCTCAACCCTTGGTATCCGCATCATCTTTTTCATCCATGTGCTCAATCATATATCTCGAAAAACTACCAAAACCATTTTTACAATATTCAACTATCTAATTTTCCTTCTAAACTTCTCATCTATTTTTCTTAATTAGCCAAGTTAATTATAACTCGTTTTTTCGCTGTCAGACCTACACTGATCATATGTTACGAACAAGAATCAATGATTCACTAATTACAACTGTCATAAATCGTCTAATAATTTTATAAAATGTTATCATAGATAATATAACAGTTATGTAATGTACATAACTAACATTAAATATTTCGCTTTTCATTTAATCTATACAAACAATATAAAATACCTGCCCCAGCCAACAAATCCGGGTTTAATGACAGTGCGTTTTATCGATCCCTGGTCTTTTTTTATCCAATGACAGTTTCACCTGCGGTTTAAGATGTGATAGTCGATTCCAACAACATTCCATCGAACAATCACATCTTTTTTTTGGTGGGTGGCCAGCTTGGGAAAGCGTTTACGTGCTTCCAGTCTTGAACGTCTCCTATCTCACATAATCCATAATCGCGCCTCATCCCAAGATTAAATACGACCCACTGAAGAGATCTAGGCAAAAATATGAAGAGACTTCATGACTATTTTTTTCCCAGGAATCATATTTGACCCGTTTTTCAAGTTGTTTTCAATTTTTACCTAACACATACGAATAGTTTTAACCTTTATCAACTTAATCGATGATTTTATTCAAGCCATGGACTTACGCTTAAATCATGACACTGTGAATAAATATGTGAAAGTTTATTAAGCAATTATAATATTTCATGTAGTTTGAACCCACAGAAATCACCCAAAATCATCACTAAATATGGCGAAATGCTGAAACGTTTCTCACTGACAAAATCAGCTAGTATAGGCAATCCTAGATGACAGGCAACTGTCAAACTATAGGTTCATTACTGTGCTGACCACAGGAAGAAATCAAACAATTTTCCATAGCAAGTCAAGCTTAGTTATTGATAAGATATCACCCAAAATCAACACTGAATATGGCGAAATGCTGAAACGTTCCTCACTGACAAAATCAGCTAGTATAGGCAAACCCAGATGACAGGCAACTGTCAAACTATTGGTTCATCATTCCGCTGACCACACGAAGAAATCTCACAATTTTACACAGCAAGCCAAGCTTAGTTATTAATAAAAATTCACCCAAAATCAACACTGAACATGGCGAAATGCTGAAACGTTTCTCACTGACAAAATCAGCGAGGAAGGCAAACCCAGATGACAGGCAAATGTCAAACTATAGGTTCATCACTCCGCTGACCACACGAAGAAATCTCACAATTTTACATAGCAAGCCAAGCTTAGTTTTAATAAGAAATCACCCAAAATCAACACTGAATATGGCAAAATGCTGAAATGTTTCTCACTGACAAAATCAGCGAGGAAGGCAAACCAAGATGACAGGTAAGTATCAAACTATGCTCACCACCCCGCAGACCACAGGATGAAATCTCACAATTATCCATGTTGTTACAATTTGATTTCTCCATGTGAGCTTAAATAATGATCATCTTATCAAAGGATCCGGGAATGTGGTCTAAATTGAATTATATTTATGTTGTATTTCTGCCAAGTTTTCGACTAATTTACTCATTCTTCATCTGGTATTAGAAAAAATATATATAAACGAATTTGAGTACTTCCATCATTTATTTTAATTACAAAGGCCGGAGTAGTTTTGAAATTTAGGAGTTTTTTTACCTTAAAATGTTCAATTTGGTACAATTTTTGGTTTTAGGTTTAAAAATGTTTTAAAATTCCTAAAATTTAAAATAAACCTAGCAATCGTGAAACTGTGTTATTGTGGGGTGTAAAAAGAAAGTGATAAATGATGTTTATACAGAATATGATTAACATGCTTTCTATTAGTAGTGACTAGTAAATATACAAAGAGAATGACACAAAAGAACTAAGCGACAATAAAAACCTACACAATAATTAATCCAAAATGGTAAAAAAGAAGGAAGAGAAAAAAGCAAATAAGTACCAAAGGGATAATAATTATGATTTAAATCGCTGTTTTTTGTTTGTTTTATCTACTTATTGACCTTGGCAGTCTGTACAGGAAAGGACAGTGGTACAACACGCGTTTTTTTTGCTCTACATTTCTAAGGGTGAAAGTCGTGGAAAAGTTCATTTATTTCAAAACGATTGGGATTGTGACACCCTGGGGTAGGTCATGGCAGTCAGGTAGGGGTGACCCATACTAAAATCTACCAGCCATGCGCTAGGGTTTGTACTAGTTATGTTTTAGTATGAAGAAATTCTGTGTCCTCAAAGCACAAATTCAATTAACAGTGTGGAACGCTACGACAAATGATAACAAAAAAAATTATTGGTATGGAGTGATAATAATTCAATTATCATCGGAAAGAGTGTTTTCGCTATCAAATGTATATTTCATAAGTTGATGGCAATGTGAAATTTTAAGTTTTAAGATAGCTAGATTTTGATCTTGAATTTTAATTTTTTTTTATGTTGCATTTGCAACTGCAAAATCACGATATTTGCTTCAAAATTAAAATCCTTTTCGCATTATAAAATTTGATGGACAATAATCTCATTTTTTATGTTAAAAAGAAGATATTTTTCTGCGATGGGAAAGGCGGCTCCCTCTGACAATATTTCAAATCGACCGAGATGACATCTTCGAAGATGGGAAGATTTTCAACAGACTGCTGTTAATATTTACGATTTGTTTTTACCTATTTTATAAGACATTTTTTGATGTTAACAACCTGTGGATTTATTGATTAGATATTGTTCAGATGATTGTTTTAAACGGTTCCGAATTGTGTTTACGTCCGGATGATAATTGTAATCAATCGAATTGTTTTCCTTACCGGCTGAATTGGTTTTTGTCCCTCGGCGGCGTCTCACTGGCAAGCTTGTCGTCCGACGGAACACAAGAAACTCAACAAACAAACAAACAAACACAGCATAAAAAAAATCGAGGATGCGAACGGAAAAAGAGCACGAAAATCTACGAGCGACTGTTTACAACTGAGGAGGGACTAGGGAGGACGAGAGTTGATGGGAGAGCCGTTCGTCCACGAACGAGGGGGGAGAAAGCGCGCGCAGCTCCGTCCCCCGCCGCTCGGCTAAAATTTGAATTCCTTTTGTTCAAAATTTATGCTGGTTGTTATTTTTCCAAATTTTTAACAAACCTGTCCACTAATTATATGAACGACTTTAAGAAAAAAATTGATACATCTAAAATAACACATACATATAGAGCCATAACTGAATTACAATAATGAACAAAAATGACGAATAGTAATAATAATAACGCAATAATGTGTAAATAAATATAATAGTAACAATATGGTTTCGACCATTCGTGACAGATTTTCCGATTTTTTCATTTTTCATTTTTTTTGAGGGGGGTGGAATTGATTGGTTGAAAGATGGCAAATGACTGTACTTACATTAAAACAATAAAAGTGTTTCTTGGATTTCTTGTCAGGAACTAGACGATCATGAGTACTTTCTTTCCAATTTCTTTGATGGTTATCTAATTCCTGAAAACAAACCCAAGAAATATAAAAATTCAACCGAAAAAGAAGAGCAAAAAAATAAAAATGTTAATGTTATACCGTGACAATCAATATTTTCTACAAGTGAATTACTCACTCTATCATAAACATTTTTACAGTATTTTTTACATTTAAATAGTGATATTTTTCTTTCATATAGGCAAAAAAATTGGTGGTAGTGCTGAAAACAGACTTGAAAATCTGCTGAAAATGTTAAAAGAGGAAGCTAAAAAAAAGAAAGGTAATTGCTGGTTTATATGATACCATGGAAGAAACTGATTACTAATGTCAACTTGATTAAGTTCAAAATTGTTATTGGTAAATTAATTATTTTTTCTATTTCTTAGTCTATTTCTTATTCTTCTATTCTTCTTTTATATTTCTTATTATTTTTCTCTATTCAGAGGGAAATGATTCAGTCGGTTCTAGAAAAGAAGACTCTGGGTTGGTATAATTTTATTATTTTTAATTTAATTTTATTTTGGTATTTATTTTATTTATTTTTTTTTATTAATATCAGGTTGTAATGCAAGAAATGTCATTTTTTCTAAAACATTATCTCCCCTTAACAATTAGCTTATGTTTAAACTGGTTGGTTAAAAAATTAAACGATGTAAAATATTCTACTGATTTTGACCTTAAAAGCCAAAATTATGTTAGGCCCATGTACTTAAGGTTAACTTTAAAACTACTAACTTAGAATTTAAAATTAAAGAATTTTTATGGGTCTTAACTAAACAATGCCAGAATTAAGAGCATAACTTGGAAAATTGTCATGTCTGTTTCCAGAGACATTCTGGGAGCTTGGAAAAACAAAAAAACATAGATACAAGTTACATCCGCAACGAAATTTATAACTTACATGAATGCAGTATGAATTAACCATGGCTCAGTTGAGAGCATGTGAGCAAAGAGCATGTTTCTAGTTAAGTGAGCTTGATGCTCTTTCTTTTTTTTATAACTTTAATAGTTTTTCTAAATAAATTTTTCTCCACTTTTTATTTATTTAGGCTCAATTACCAATTCTTGTAAATTTATTTAAAGTCCTCTGCCACTAGGAAGTATAATGGCCATTTTACCTTGTACTTACTTTTTTTTTATAATGTATGTATTACATTATATATTAAATAAACTTACCAGAAATCATTTAATCCATGTAACACGTATTGACTTTAATAATAACAACAATTGTTTATTTTTTATTATTCAACTACTTTTTGCACTTTGAACTTGTGATCTAATTCCAAATCCCTTGGAGCTTAACATTGCAACCTTTCAACTGTTATCGTCGTTTGTAATGAATTCGTGAGGCCTTTTTGTTTGTGCAGAAAGGTTTTTTGTGCAAAGTTTATTTTTTTAATTGTTAGCAAATGCAACTTAGCAATAATTTTAATATTTACTTAGTTCTAATGATTCCTGTGCTCAAGGTTGTTGATGTCAGTTTAATATTGAAAGTGAGCTGATAACAGCGTATTGAGTTCTTTCTCAAAAACGTATCCGCCAAAAATGTCAAACACTTCCGGTAATTATTTTACTTATTTGTCATAATGTTATTAGCCAGTGGTAATCAGTAGTTCTCGAGTCGTTTTATCTTTTTATCATACTTAATACATGACTGTCAAGGGTTGGCCAGTGTTATACTACACCAGAACAGTCTCCTATGAACGTCACAAATGAAAGTTTCATTCAAAAAGTAGATTTTTCAAACATGAAATAAATTTTAAGGATGTCACTCATCTATGATTTGCTAGTAATCGTAAAATCATCTTATATGGACTTTTAGCATGAAGGGTTGCCACGCTCTTAGGTGCTTGCCTTAGTGTCTATACCTCAGGGGAGTTCACTAATCGTTAATATCCCTTGAGCCAAATGCTCAGGATATCATCGCTTCCCAGGCAATAGGGGCTCCAGGGTCTATCGACAGCTAGGTCATTTCAGGCTCGAACACAACCAAAATATAACCTAGTCTAATATTAACTATAATATTGCACAAATAAGTTTAATACATTAATTGCTCTCATAAGTGTTGGTTTGATTGTCCTACACCCATAAGAAATATATAAAACAGATCTATAACACAATTTTTAAAAAACCTAAAAAGTAGAACAGAGGATCCAGAAACACACCACTGTGCCCAAGAACCTTTTTTAAATCTGGTGGCACGCCTACACACTTTCTATAAGGAGCCAAGGCATGATAAGCTTCTGTTATGTAGAAGACATCGAGCAACCTTTCTCTACATAAGGGGGAGCTGAGTGATCTTTGGCTCAGGAGCAGGTGCCCATTTGTCAACAGCGTACGACCTATTCTTATTTGCGTAAGGACAATTCCTTATTTGGAGGGACTTCTACAGGTTGTGTTCTTAACATGCAAGGGCATCTCGGACGACATGCATATAAGGTTCAATAAAGCTATAATAACTGGTTGAAAGATGGCTAATGGCTAGACTTACATTAAATGAATAAAAATGTTACTTGGGTTTCTTTTCAGGAACTGGATAACCATCAAACTCTTTGATGGTTTTCTAGTTCCTGACAAAAAACTGAAGAAAAAATAAAAATGTTAGTGTTATACAATGACAAACAATATTTTCTACGAGTGAATTGATATACTCACTCTATCATAACCATTTTTACAGTATTTTTTATACATTTAAATATTTTTCTTTCATACAGGCAAAAAAATTGGCGGTAGTGCCCAAAACAGACTTGAAAATCTGCGGAAAATGTTAAAAGAGGAAGCTAAAAAAAAAGGTAATTGCCGGTTTATATGATACCATGGAAGAAACTGATTACTAATGTCAACTTGATTAAGTTCAAAATTGTTATTGGTAAATTAATTTTTTTTTAAATTTCATAAGCAGAAGAAAATGATTCAACCCGATCTAGAAAAGTTAAATTTAAGGAAAAGGACAAAAAAGCGAAAAATGTGCAGCAAAACATAAAAATCATGCAAACTCTGGGTTGGTAATTTTATTTTATTTTATTTTTTTTATTAATATTATCAGATTGTAATGCATGAAATTTAATTTTTCTTAAACATTATCTCCCCTTAAGAATTAGCTTATGTTTAAGATGATAGGTTTTAAAAATTAAATGATGCAAAATATTCAACCATCCACTATAAAACAAACTAATTGTGTGCTGTTAATTTACAAAATTTCAGTCTAATAATTTCGACCTTAAAAGCTATGGTAAGCCGATGTACTTAAGATTAACTTTAAAGTTAAAACTACTAACTTAAAATTTAAATATAAAAGGATTTTCTTGGGTCTTAACTAAACCAAGCCAGAATTAGGAGCAAACCTTGGAAAATTGTCATGTCTGATTCCAGAAACATTCTGTGAACTTGGAAAAACAAGAAAGATAGATACATGGTGCAGTTGAGAGCATGTGAGCGAAGAGCAAGTTTCTAGTTAAGTGAGCTTGATGCTTACTGCTCTCTCTGTTTTTTTTTTTTTTTTCTTCATTAACACCTTTTACATTGGTTGAATAGAGCTCAGAAATCCCAACATATATTCAAACCAAGCCTTCGCCCACAAAAAAGTAATGGTTATACCATGGTGGAATGGAGTAAGGCTGGTTTTATCCACCATTCTTTTTTGCCAGCCAATAATAATTTGTAGTAGTTATCGCCAAGAATTGCATACTTTTATGGGGAAAAAAGATCTACTCTCGTACACTTAAATAGCCTAGCTTCATGGGACAGTCCAAAATCTGCATGGAATGAAAATCCATGCACACTCTTCGTTTTACTTTTTTTTAAAAATAGCTTACTTAAACTTTTTAAGAACTTAAAATTTATATTCAAGTCCACTATTTAAATTCTTTCCATTGTTGACAGCTAATTGTTTATATAGTTGTAATAGATATGCTTGTTTTATGATGATAGACCAGAATGGAGCTTATTTTGATGAATAAAGTTTTTTTTTTCATTTTGTCAAAAATTGACACTTTTACTGGCACTTTGCATTTTACGACTGATTGGCAAGAAGAGTAATAAAAAATAAAGATAATAATTCAATTCATTTTTTTAAAATTTTAATGCAAAATTTAATTTGTAGAGTTGTTAGAGAAATCTCAAGAAGGTAGTCCAAAAAAAAAAGTATCCAATGAAAACAAAGTTGATACCGAAACCCCAAAACCTGCAAAAAAGAAACGCATTGGTATGTGAATATGAATTTTATATATGTTTAAAAAAATAACATGTAGCTTTAGTTAATAAATAACATGGGATTTTTAGTAGAAAAAGATGATTTCAAATGTGTGAGTGGCTCTCAAAATAGTTCGGCAGCATTGTCTAGGAAAAGAAAGGCGAAAATACACCTGTCAAAACAATCTCTAAATACAAAATCTGATGCATGTAATTTCAAAATCTCACGCACGCCATCACCATGTAAAAAACGGTTGGTTCCAAGATTTCAGGAAGAAGCATCAGTTAGAATAAAAGAGAAATATGATATGAAAAAATGTCCTACGTCTAGTCAAAAAATGGCAACAAATGAAAAATCCAACGTGAGATTAAACATAAACCAACAACCTGAAGCTACTTTTGAAAAGTCTAAGAATTATTCAACAGAGCAATTTAAAAAGACAACTCCTGTTGAGTCATGTTCAAATTTAAACATTTGCAAAAAACCTAAAAGTCCTACAAAAGCGCTTCGGGAAACCGCAATACCTGACAATATGCCTAAGCAAGAAAAAGGGAAAATTGTAACAACTACAGGAAAAAGCAATTTATACAAGAGAAAACATACGTATGACACCTCTGGTGACGCATCTCAAGAGAAAAAGATGAATACGTTTACCAAATATTATAGTAATTTACAGGAAAAAATTACTAGTTCATTTAAAACACTGGTCAACTGGGCGAATCCGAAGGAGAACATTGCCTGTTCAACTTCCAGTAATATAGACAAAAATTATAACCAAATGATTGATCTGGAGAAACCTTTAATTTTACACGTAAGTGTTTTAAGAAAATTTGCCCGATTTTTTAAAAATAATTTATATTATTAATTGTCGCGTTTATGTACTTGGATTTTTTATTAGCTAAATATTATTTCAGTTACAAAATGTTAGAAATTTAGTGAACTCAAATGATTCTGAAGAAATGGATTGGGAAATATCATTTGCCAGTGATTCCACTGTAAACTTTGAGACGCTCAAAACGAATGTTTATGTGGTTGTGGACACAAATGTGTTTTTATCGGCTATAGGACTAATTCAAAAAATTGGAAATGTTAAAATTCAAGGTATTTTATTGAAAACAGGTTCGAGAACAATAATATACAAATATTTTTTTTCCCCTTTTAAGGTAAAAATATAGTGATATTTGTACCCTGGCAAGTGTTGAAAGAACTTGATTACTTGAAGAAAGATAAATCTATTGTCTCTTACAATGCTAGAACTGCTATAACATACCTTTTCAATGCGTTCTCTGCATCAGACCCGGGTATATTAGGGCAAACATTGCAAAGTGCAAATTCAACATTTCCTGGTTTTGAAGTTGAAGTGGCAGACGACCACTTGATCAAGTGTTGCCTGCAGTTAAAATGTGAAAATCAAAATGTCGTAAGTGAAATTCATCAGAATTAAATAATACGTTCGCTGTTCACGGAGATCCTTTTTTCACATTCAGATGTTATTGACTAATGATAAAAATCTTGCTGTGAAATCTTTGGTACATGGTGTTTGTGTTATGAATGCTAAACAGCTTACTGAAGTGATTAAAATACACAGCTCTTCAGCTCCAGGTTTGTAAGAAAAATAGGTCTTTGTCCACTTTGTGGAAATGAAGTTCAGAAATTAAATATTTTATTTTTCATGTGCCAGAAGAAATTTTAGATCAAACACATCCAATTGAAAAACAACCTGAAATTGGTTGTGTACAAAGACCATTTATCTTAAAAATGTTCGTGCTTGCAAATATTTTCAAGGAATTCTTATCTATGGTAAAATAATTGAAATCATTTACCTAACATTGCCTTGAATTTTGATGAGATCCGGTTTAATTATAGGTTATTGAAAAATATTTAAAAGATAAATATGGTGATATTTGGACCTGGTATTTACCCCAAAAATTACCTTTGGGTATTATACAACTTCTTAAGAAGGTCAGAGACATGTCAAATTTCTTTCCCCAAGATATAAGCAGGCAGATTAGCCTTAATTCGACATCAATTGAAAATATTCTGCATAAGCATGATAACGGTAATCAAAATTACATTCAGTGTTATTTTCTTTTTCATTGATGCTCTGTTTATTTGTTTTAGATTTGTGGTTTTCTGTTTACGAAAGTGAACAATTTGGAAAATTTTGCTACAAGCTAATAACTTCTTTTTCATTTGGTTTTAAAGATGAAGTCAATGAATATGACAGGCGAACTGTGAGTATTTTTGCTTAAAAATTCAGTTTGAAAGATTTTACGCAAAGGATTTTTTTAGGCCTTTTACAAATGTAAAAACCCAGCAGGCCCTGAACCAGACAGCACATATCGACTTGAATGTTGCAAAACTGCCATGAGACATTTTGACCTTTTCCATGATAAATTGACGCTTTATTGGTAAGTAAAAAAAATATCGATAATAAAAAAATATTGTTCTATATTTTTTCTTTGTTTCAACAAAGTTGCTGGTTGTCAAATGTGATAAGAGTGCCATTCATACCGACCAATCAACCGTCTTCCTTACAATGCGTAGAAAATTTCACGATAGAAGAAAGAAGTGTGCATAAAAATTACGTCTCCCAACTTATACATTCTCTAAAGAGGTATGTTACCAAACTGGTAATTTTCAGGGTGTCTCGTGTTAACAAGTTGACTGCGAAATCAGCAACTGTGTCATGTTGACCTTTTAGGTGCGGAAGACGCATAGTTTGCATCCTTCTGTTTATACTTTTCAAACCCTCCCTCCACTTCAAAATTCCATGAGAAATTCCTAGGGCATCCTCAGAAAGGCAAAAGTGTCTGGCTATGGTTGGCATTTCAATTTTTTAAAAAACTTTTTAACATTTATTTATTTCTTTTTTCCACCCGGAAGTTTTTTAAATTTATTTATTCTACAAAAATCGCATAATTTGCTTTTCTGTGTATATGTTTATTTTAATTATTTTCACATTTTGTGTGATTATTAAATTAAATTATAAAGGAAAAATTATTGTAGAAAGTTGAAATCTTTTGTTCAATTACATGGTTGCCTACTACTTCATTTACTTATCGCTGTGGGAGAAACAACTGTTTCATCATATAATTTATGACTTAGATAAATATAATAAAAAAAGAAATCTTTTACATTATTTTTAAGCAATTAATGTTATTTTTATTTATTTATTTTATTTTAATTTTTTTAAATATTACTTTTATTTATTTGTTTATTTAATATTAATTATTTATTTTTTACAATTTTTTTTATATATTGGCTTTGGTTCTACTCTGAAATGTTCTAATTTTTGAACATTATCATTGGTTTGAGATTAAAAGAAGTCAATGCCACGGATTCAAACTCTTAGAACAGTACTTTGCCTTTTTTATCTCAAATCTTGTTCTAAAATTAATATTATTTTTACGTACCAAAGAGTTATTTTACATGATAAATTGGGTTCCACAATGGGCAACCAAACTGGCCAAGCGTAGGATGCAGTCAACGTGTTAAGAGCCTAGATTTGTCCATAAATTATAAGAATATGTAAAATGTATAAGACATTTTCATATTTTTAAACAATCCATTAATTTTGACTGCACTGAATGGAACATTAAATAAACAAGACATAGTTGCTGAATAGTTAAGACTTTAAGCTGTTTCCATTGCACAAAAAAATGTCTCAACAACCAAACGCAAGAATCACTCGCAAATAGTCTCGGGTTAATCATTTCCATAAGGCGAAGTAAGGTGAGCCGGATTTTGGTTTTGTTATGTTTATCACTACAACTTCTCATTCTTGCTCGTCACTGGGCCTAGGAAGCGTAAAATCCTGACAAGGTTAAACGAGGCACCCCCTTGGTTATCATGAGTTATTTTCGTTAATTTTGTATTATCAATATTTTTCCAGTATTTCTGAAGTTCCTATACAGAATGTGACAGAAGAAACCAAAGGCGTACGAGAAGTATATGCAATTCTTGCAAAATACGGAGGTGCAAACTGCGAAGAAGACTTTTCATTTGAAGATGTTTTGGAATTTGCCAAAGACGAAAGTGTCAGGTAAATGTAATTTATGTTTGTTTAAATTTTGCCATGACTAATAACAGATTTTGTTATAGGGTGAAGTTTCCCATGGCCTTAGACTTACTGTCTAAATTACTGATCCTTCTGTGATTTAAAAAAAAAATGCTAAAAATTTATAAAAGTCAAGAAGTTTTATACATTTTTTTACTTGATAGCGCCTTAATTAATAAGGTTAATGAAAGTTATTTAAGTCGCTGAACTGAATTTACCACAGTTATGTATTTTTCCAACGGTGACAAAGTTTCCATTGATTTTTGTAATGTAAAACTTAAGTAAAGAACTGTGATACCTTTTTTCTTACAGTGAATTAATTGTCATTAATCTGTGATCCATCCAATTCAGATCATTCCAAAATTAGTGGAACTCATGCTGGAAGCTGAGCCATTTCAGCCACGCAAATTTCAAACTAAAATTATATTTTTTTTAAATACACTTTCACTTATACATACGCACATATACCAGAATATATTATTTACCAAAAAATTTAATTTGATATAAGAATTTTCTTCTTTTCCTTTACTACTTTCTGCACACAAGAGAATGATGAGCTACCTAGTTGTGAACACTTAACATGTCAGATATAGAAGCCTGAAACACTGTCGACCCTCTAGTGAAACATTTTTTTCCATAAATGGCTTTAATAATTAATTTTATAAAAAAAATATATCTTTTGTCTGAATTAGGCCTAGTACATATAAACCATTTTCTAACGTTAGTGAAATATTAAAGTTCACAGGAGAGCGAATACACGGTAACACGGTATTAAGCCAAACGCACAATTTGACCCCTCACTGCCCGAGTCGAGATACAAAGTAACTAATTGGTCTTTTCAGATCATTGCACATTTTAAATTTTTTTTTTATCGTCATGATGGTAATGTAACTTGTTGACACTGATCTGGTCAACGAAATTGAAAAAATATCTGCATTGTGGAACGTAGAGTGTAACGATTATTATATTCATTATAGCTCCCTCATATATGTCACAACTATCATAAATGACTACATCTCATCAACCAGTAATCACCACATTCCAGTGATTTAGAGGTAGTTTTACAGTTCAGCATTGCAGCATGATGACAACATTATCGATGTATTATGACAAGTTTTTTTTCTGGCGGGATGGAATCTCTCAAACATGGAGGTTTTTACAAAATAATCACCCTTAATCGTGCGCAAAAAATGAGTTAATTGTGTCCTTATCTGAATCTACTAACATTGTTTTTAGATGTGGACAGAAATCGATATCGCGTTAATGAAATAGAATTTTTTTTTTGGCCTTATGATCTATGCATATTAACCACGGTGACGAATTCTTGTATGTGTGTTCATATTTGGGGGGGGGGGAGTTATTGTGAAAAAAGGGCCAGAGGCGACGGTGGGAATCGAACCTATGACCATGGCGTCTATGAACCAAGAGTCTCTCACGCTAACCACTCGCTACCGCGGTCCCCGTAATAGAATGGTAATGTTCCTGAAAAACACATTTAAAAGAAAAAGTATTTAAAAATTAAAACTTATAAATGAAGAGAACCAACAAATTGTTAAACTTTTGGAGATTTTTCTGTACAAAACCCTGAAAATCTCAAATATTTCAGCATATAACAGTCTATCCGGCATATCTGTAACCTTTTTTATTGTACAAATAAGTCAATGTTATCTTAAAAATGCCAAAAAGTTGTCCTAGGAAACATTTCACAGCTAATTTTGTTAAGCGCCAATCTATACCAGAATGGCGCATATTGTTCGAAAGCTGGTTTCACACTAAATTTAAAAAGTGCTTCAAAATGGGGAAAAATAATAGCCAATAGAAAACGGTGCATCTGAACGATGGCCTAGGTCTCATTTGAGACCTGCCACTGTTAACGTGTTAATAAGGTAAAAAAAAATCACACGTTCGAGTTTTAAGTGTATATTTAGTAATAACATTGGTACATTCATATTTATTTAAAAATTTGCTCTCTTTAAACTTTCACAATACAATATCTTTATCTTTTTAAAGTCTTATATTTTCTTTTTACACACTCTGTTATACTTTCGTATAAGAATATCAACAGATTTCTTATTTAATTTGCATTTTATTCGTATTTTAAATATTTACATGAACAATTAAAATGTTTGGCCTGCTCCAAACCCACACCAAAATATGGGAACATCTATAAGTATTATAATTTAAAGCAGTATGAAAAAAAAGCAAAATGTGATATATGGTAAATTGGAAGAAACCCAATCCTCTATAATTCACGTTTATTTAGGTAATTTCTAATAAATATACTTAAGGTTGTAAATATGTTATGAGAATGGCATACTTTGACAAACTTAACTTACATCAATTAAAGCTTGTTATAGGTAAATTAAAACAAGCTAAGTGTCTGTGTCTGGGTCGTCTTCAACATCGCCGTCCCCTGGTACATCGGGTAAATGGATGTTTGAAAGAAGATCACGCATTGCGTCCAAAAGTGACGTGACACTCCTTCTAAGATCGACCCCGGATCCTTCTCCGCCATCCTCTCCTCTGAGAATGGTTTAAAAATTAATTTTTATTTTATTTTTATTTTTAATTGTAACTTACGTCTCATCTGATGCGACCTGATTTATATTGAAGTTTGGCATCAGTGAACGGATGAATATTGACAATGTGCTGTCATTCTCATATGCCCTTGTTCTCATCGGTCTTGTGTAAAGATTTATAGAATCAGTGGGTGGGAGTGGATCAAAGTTGAACATTGAAATTTGAAAGTCCTTAAAAAAATAAAAAAATACATTTTAATAATAAACATTACTGTCGTAAAATAAAAACAACTGAAAACAACTAACAGATTTAAAACAGTTATATTTTTAATACCTCGTTGGTCAATAAGGGCAAATCTTTTATGTCGGAGAGAATGATATGTCGTAAAACGTTCCTAGGAGTCGAAGGATATCTCTTTTGCCTGTTTTGCTCCCACTCTAGAACAAATGGATCGTCTGCTTCCACTCTTTCCATAACTTGGTGAACGTTACGTTCCAACCATGCTAACAGTTCTGGCTCTTTCCATATATGGTAACTCCTTGCAACGTACAGAAGCTCGAGTTGTGTCAATGATTTGCTCTGTCTACATAAATTCAATGAACGGTTACAAACAAAAAAAAAAAAATAAATAAAAAAAATACAGAAAACAATATTATTTACCTTTCAGTTGCGCCAGTAAAAAACTGACTAGAACTTATTTTCGTATCGACTTGTACACTACACTTTTCTGCCAATGGAAGTACAACGCCAGGGAACATCATGACAGCTTTCTGTAGTAGCAAGTGGGCAGTTTCTAAATCACCTAGTTGAAAATGGGCGACCGCAACAGAGTAGGCAATGTTTGGCAACTGCATAATTGAAAAGATCATAAATTAAAAATTTGTGAGAAAAACAAATCAGTATAATATTCAAATACAAATACAGAACAGATAAAAAACAAGGATGAGCATGTATTTTTAGCTTATATGGTTAGCTTGCTGATTAAACCTTGAATTCGTGTTATGAGCTCGAGGGTTGGCTGTGAAGTGCAGAAAACCAGTAAAAAATATCCTGATCATTTTAGGAAAAGATCTGCAGGATTTGTCATTTACATGTTTGTAAAATTTATTTAAAAGTTTCTTTCTATTCTACAAAATTTCATCTCTGATGAAAAATTTCACAGCCACAACTCGCACACTTAGCTTTTCACTTTCACTCACTTTAATTATATTAATTTTTCCTTTAAGTGTTTAACACATGCTAAGACGTATAAAGATAAACTGAAGAAGTACATAAACATGTTTATAAAGGGGCATAATCACATTTTAGGATTTCGAGACAAAAGACAGTATTGAATTTGGGGGGGGGGAGAAATATTTTCAGGTGGGTGCTATGTGCATCAGTTACTGGATTGTATAAGTTTACAGAAGATTTTCACATGAAGAAACTAACAGGAAAATGCTGAGGAATCAGAATTTGTCCCTTCAGGGAAATTTCACTGAAATCTGTTTGTATGTAAATATAGAAATCCTATCTTTCTTTGTTGGGGAATGAAAAATTGTCCACAAGAGAGGTGGTCACTATAGTGGTTTTTTTTTTAAATTTTAAAAATGGATTCCTTCATTGGAAAAAAATGCTTAAATTATAATTTACCTGTGATAAATTTCTTGTGGCTTCCCACTCATTTGCTATCCTCAAAAGCCACTTGTACTCTTGGGAGCGGAGAGCGTAGAAATCCATTACGAGGACAACGGCGAGCGGGTCGCCTTCTGGATCCAAGGAAAGAATCAGCTTGCAAAACTCGAGCGAAGTGCGGTAACAAGCTCTCGACCCGATATACATCATGTGTTTGAACAATGCTATGTACAAAGACCTGAAAATGGATTTAGTTAGTTTCTACGATACGAAGTTGGAAGAAATATTGGCACACTTTAAAAAATATACTTACACACTTGAAACTATAGAAAATAAATTTAATTTAAGATAGGCGTTGGCTAAACGGAGTCAAGTCAATGACCTGAGGATTTGCTCAACTGCCACACATCAACACAACTTTTAAAATTATACGCCAACGCTTCGCTTTACCTGTTTTCTTGTTTGCGATAATCCAAACGGCAGTTTCCCGATGCGACTGAAAAAGAGGGATGGAAAGCACACTCTAAACAGTAAAGCGCTCTTTGAACTAGTTCTGTCGCCATGGAAAGGTCTTCACTGAGTTTGCAAATGTCTGACAGTTGAAGCAGTGCATCAACGTGATACGGATGAGAATTGATAATCCTCTGGAAAAAATCATACTTAAACCTGGCCTATTTTCATGTCATTCTCTTGCATACCATAATAAATTCAGGGTTTAAACTCTCTACAGCATCTAGGAATCTCATTTGGACTTCCTGGTAACTCAGAGAGTGCTCATAGGAAAAGTATTGAACACCATTTTTCGTCTCGACAAGTTTCATGGACAGGCCTAAATGACATATATTTTTATTTAGATAAAATGAAAAATAAACTGATATAGTGGATGGAAAAACTACCTGGCTTTTCAATTTGATACCAATAGTCCTTAGGCGAGACTAGCCATGTCGTCTTTAAATGACCTCGACTTCCACGGCCCCTTTTCTTCCTGAAAATGGGCTGGTAGATCAAGACATTTTGACAGGGTGAAGGGATAAACGTACGAACTGAGACTCACATCTGTTCACTCTGAATGATTTTTGCGCCGAAAATACGACGGAGTTCGTTATTAGGATTTAGCATTCTATGGTCAACACTGAGTACCCCTTTTCTGGCACTGCTGGGGATTTGGACATCGGAACTCTGAACTGGCCCAACGCCCTGTATTTCTCCCAAAAGTGCATTTACTTCTCGTACTGACTTTTCAACTTCATCCTATATCAAAAATCAAAATAAATGTGTGGTGATTAGTGACCGTTAGTAGATGATTACTCAGAAATCATGAGATGCGGTCTGGTAAGAAGATGATCTCAATAAAGATCAAAATGTTGGCACGATAAAAAAAATGTTTTTCTGAAACCTACATCACACCAGACCCGCATCTCATGATTTCTGAATAATATCAAAATAAAGTACATGATTTCTTCCTTTTAACATAACATAAAATGATATTTCATTTGATATTGGTATAAATTCATTGGTAAGTACAATTAAAGTTTCATATAAAATAACAATGATACTGTAAAATAAAATAATTGTTATTTGAAAAAAAGAAAAAAAAAACCAGTAAACTCTTATTTTCCCATCATGCATGAAAACCTTTAATTAATAGTTTAAAAATTAATTTGCCATACTGATTAATCGCATGCAATTAGTTGGCAAACATCAAATACGCATGGATTACTTGTTTTGGCGAGAAGAAGTAACTCAAGCACCTTGCTACAAGATTCAAAAAATCTGTTTTATAAAAAAACCAACAAAAACTTGATGATGATTTACAGTCTTTCTTACAATTAAGTTAAGGTCCATTGTTAGTAATCTTCTTTTGTTGTAAATACAAGTATTTATCTATCTATCTACATAACATATCTACTACATAAAATCAAGCATTTGTTCATCGTCTATGACTATTTGACTTGAACCCTTGCGCCAATAAAAATACCATTGGAAACAGCGGGAAAACGCATAGTTCATGACCATGCATTTATGCCATAATTAAAAGTATGATCTCTCAGATTAAAAAATAAATCTTTTTTTGACATTTTAGATTATTTATGGACAAACTTTTTTTTTCTGATGGCTATAAACCTTAACCGTCTTGGCCTTCTTTGTACACTGTTCCTAAGCCGCTGCTGTCTCTTTACAGTTTCTTAGAGGCGCTTTGTCTAGCTTTTTTATTATAGACGGAAGCGGCTGAACTTGGGGGGGTCAGAAAGAATGAGCAATAAAAAAAAAAAATCAAACCGTACCTTCTCCGAGCACTGTCCCTCAGCCATTGTTGGCTTCTTATTTATGTTTATATATGCTTCAGACTATTTATGCCTAACAGTTATTTGTGCCCTGTTACAGTTTTGAGTACAAGGTGGGTGGCCACCAAACACAGGCATGAGGCCGGCGGCCCAACCGCCGCCACCGAACAAGGGGGACCCAGGATCTTCGCTAGTCATCTCGTTTACTTTTGATATATTTTGAGACATTACAGAGGCCTTTGTCTGGGATGCGGATAAAAAACATTTACAGTGTCGCGTATGGAAAAATCCGCATCACTTGGGGACCCTAGGCGAGAGCGCCACTGAACCCCCGGCGACAAGCCCCCAACCAGTGATACTCCCATCCCCTCGGGTTAATGCAAATTAATTGATGAATTTAAAATGTTTTTATTTTGTTAGGGATTTAAATGAGAATGATAGTGAAGCTACGTTATAGTTTATTTTGTTTTTATATTTCATTGTAAAGTTTTGTGTTTTTCAAGAACTGTATGATTTTTGAAGTGGAGTCTGCGCTAAAGTCAAGGGCAATTTTAATGTCTGTAGGTATACCAACTTTGTCCTTTGTGCTGAAAATAAGCTGCATTCGGAGATGGGTTTGATTGTTAATGTTACTTTGCATTTTTGGCACTCGGGGGGAGGCCTATTACACATTAATTGTCCATGGGTCAGTCTCTTGTGGCCAATGCGAAGTCTAGCGAGGGTTGATTCTTTTCGCATTCTCGTATGGAGCTTTTCCATGATTTCACATCTTTTTTTTATCCCTTATAATCTTGGAAAACTGGATATTGGATGTTTTCTAAGAAGTCTTTTGAATCCTGAGTTTGTTTTTGTTGTTTCAAAGTGTGAAACTTGGTGCTTTATTTACCGAAATGACTTCAAATTTCACGATATCTACGACCTTGATTCTATGGTCAACACTGACTACCCTTTTTCTGGCACTTCTGGGGATTCGGACATTAGAACTTTGAACGGGCGCAACGCCCTGTATTTCTTAAATTGAAAATTATTTCACTAAACCAAACACTGATTAATTGCATGCAATTAGTTGGAAAATGACCAAATACACATTGATTACTTGTTTTGGCTAGAAGAAATAAATCAAACACCTTGCTACAAGATTCAAAAAATCGTTTTATAAAAAAAAACTTGAAGATTTACAAGACTTTTTTTACAATTAAGTTACAGTCCATTTTTAGTAATCTTTTGTTGTAAATAAAAGTACTTATCTATCTACCTATATAACAAAATCAGACCATAGTTCATCAACTACTATTATTAAGTGTCAACCTTGAACCATTGTGCCAATGGACCTTTGGAAACAGTGGGATCAAGCCACAGTTCAAGACCATGCATTTATGCCATAATTAAAAGTATGATCTCTTAGATTACACAATAAGTCTTTTTTGACATTTTAATTTATGGGCAAACTGACTTATGTGTGTAAGAAGGGTGGGTCATGCTATGGATATTTGTATTAAGGCTATGGATATAGAATGTTTTCTAAGAAATCTTTTGAATTTTGAGTTTGTTTTTGTTGTTTCAAAGTGTGAAACTAGATGCTTTATTTAATGAAATGACAACTTCAAATTTCACGATATCTCTTAATATGTTGAAGGCGGGTGTGGAGGTGTTAACAGTGGATGGTGTAAATACGGACGAGGCGTAACTCAACCACACTTGACCTTATTGCTGATGAAAAATCAATTGTCTGCCGTTTCTGGCAAGAGCCATATGGTTAAGAGCCGAGGACGGGAAAGTCTGTCAAAACGTCCCAAGTGGAAAAAAGGGAATAAAAATAATGTAAACGTGTGGAGTACCTCGATGTTGTCTTCGCTACTCCTCGTATTGCTGCTTGGTATTTTGCAAGGTTTCTTTTTCTTCTTCTTCTTCTTCCTCCTTGAGGCGTCTTTGACGTCGATGGCGCCTTCTTGGGCGTTGAGAGACCCGGCCGTCTCGTGGTCGTCGTCTTCCTTCACTTCACTCTCCGAGTGGGACAACTGGTTCAGCTGAGGGTATCGAGAGCATTAGTGATCGTGTCTGTAACGGTCCGGGACCGTTTATTTACCAAGTCGTATCTGTTTATGTTGAGCTGTTTCTTCTTCGTGTTGCTGGAAGTCGAGAAATCCGCTTCCGTGTCGCTCCCTCCGTCATCGCCGAGACAGCTCAGCTCCTTTTCTCCCTGCAGGCCGAGTTTGCGAAGGACCCTCGACGACATGGTTCGACGGCGATTCACAAAACCATTTTAACCCTAGGCCCGATTTGAATTTAGTAGCCGGCGCTCTACGAAATCGAATTCTAGCTCTGCTAAGCTATTGTAAATGTGTCAATACCGAAAACATGACAGAACATGTCCAGAGAGGGAACGTAATCGTCTAGTAGCTTTTGTTCTTCACGAGACGGCTCTTCGACCTAGAGTTCGCCTTCGGCAGCGACCAGCCAGCTCGCTTCGTACAGGTCGATCAGCTGTCGGAAGAAAACAAGACTTGACACCTTAAACAACCAGACCTTCTTCAAAACAAACTTGCTTCCACGGAATTTATTTACAATTAAATATTGACTTCCCACTGCGAAATTGTAACGGGATCTTGTTTTGGTGAATACAGTGAGGGCGCTACGATCGCTTCTCAAGTTTCACAAACAGTATTTTATTCAAACTGGCCAACCTGCGAACTTGTCAATCTCTCCGAAATAACATACAATTTTTTTTGTTAAATGAGAAAAACGACAAGCAGTAAACTTATTGATTTAATTCTTACTATTTGTCGGTCACGATACTTAATTCACGAGGAAATAACGACAAAGTTGGCATCTTTGATTTGATCCATTTCAACTTCCAAGGTAGGTAAACCTGTTCTCATTGTCGTATCGAAATTAGTCAGTTAATGCATCCAAAATCTCCAAAACCTGAGGAAAAACAACCTGATGATATCTTGGATTCCAGGGCACAAAGGAATTTGATTACGAAAAGACAGACACACTGGCTAGATGCTGCCTGAATCTATTCTAGTGATGATAAAAACAAACAGAATCCTCTATCTCAGAAAGGATCCAAAAAAGTCAAAAGAAGTGGATAAACTCTGGAGGCGTCAAACTTGGGAAGAAGGAAAAGAAGATGGAAGTGGCCTTTCCGTAAAGTAGAGGTAAAAATGACAATAATATAACAAAATAATTATAATAAAAAAGGCTTTATTAAACTGAAAATTGAGGTGATGGACCTTGATCGCCTTTTATCAACCGGGTTTTTCTTTTCTCGTTGCGTTAATCATTCATTTTAATATTTGTATTTAGTATTCTAAGAGTTTGATGATCCTGCTCTGTTAATCTCAGATTATCAGGGATTAGCTCCCTTGCAACTGAGCAAATTTTCGTCGTTAAACGTTCAAGTAGTAGAATTATACAGGGTGTCCCGTGTGAGAGGTCAATACTTCAGACAGTTATCCTACAGGCCCAATTGGTCTAAAAAGTCCCTGTTGTCCAAAATCTGATTTTTTTTTTTTTTTCAATTGTAATGGAGATTTTTTTCAACTTCAAAACAACAACAATTACAAAACTCTTCGCGTTACTTCAACCTTTCACAACTTTTTTTCCATAGAGCAACCCGTATCTCATAAAATATTAATCCTACTGAAACTTTGATTTCATCAATGGAAAGAACATTAGAAACCCTACGAGAAACATTTTTTTTTTTTTTTTTCATTGTGATCTTAAAGTAACAAAATTACAAAAATATCAATTTTTGCGGGTTTTCAATTCTCTTGCCTAAAAGGTTTAAGATTTCCTTGGCTCTGTAAATACTTACAGACATGGCGCTTACAGAAAAGTTGCCCGTTCTAATGAGCTGTAAACAAACCTACTTAATTCCTCAAAGGCTAGTTATAACCAATTAAATTAACGGTTAATTGCTAAAAATCTTAGTTTTGGTTACACACTGTTCAAAAACTTATCCGTTTAGATTCTGAAATTTCAATTAAAAATAATGAAAGTAATTCAAATTAAACAAAAACTTTGGTACAAAATTAAACTCAAGAAAAAATGAAAGCTTGAAAAAATAAAATTAATTAATTACACTTTTTATCTAAGCGACAAGTCGCGATCGGGACACTCGCTTATCGTCTCAACCAATACCTTAGATAATATGTATAATTATTTTAATTTTTTTTTAATATGAGGGTATTTCATTTTTTTGTAAATTTTTTATATTTATTTAAGTAACTTTATTATATTTATTTTATGTATATAAGAGAATTTATTACCGCTTTAGTCAAAAGATTCCATCTCTTAGTTCTTAAAATGAGATTATTTATTTATTTTTTAACGAGGGTATTTCAACTACGAGTTTATGTAACCGGTCCCGGAGTTTTTGAAAAAAGCCCATTTGTAGGTCAGGTTTGAATGCAGGGCTGCTGGATTCGAACCCGGGACTTTTACCTTACAGTGATGAACGCCGTGTCAACGACTAAACCGTTGCGGCCACCGACGCCCCCAAATTACTTAAACTTTAGACAAGAAATTGGTCAATTTGTGAAGTTTGACTTCTTAGTAATTTTGTATTTCGTTTGCTTCATCTGCTTCATCAGAAAATCAGACTTAAGGTTGTGATAAAAACAGAAATGAATCTCATGGAATTTTCAACGCTTTTTTCCAATTTGGTAAATTATTATTTACAGTGTATATAACATTTTACAAGATACGGAGGTTTCATGGAAAAAAGTTGTGTAACGTTAGAGGCAACAAAAGAATATCTCGAATACGATTGAGAATCAGACTTTGGACAGGAGGGACTTTTTAGTCTAATTATACAGGGTCTCGAGTCACCCTGTATAATTCTACTATTTGGACTTTTATTAAAAGTTAGAAATTTCAAACAAAACGAACTTCTTCTTACTAGACACTATATTGTTCGTGCTATTTTTTATCAAAATCGACCCAGTTTGAATATTTTGTTTCGTCAAGTATAGTAAACAAATTGGTTAGTCTTGATCGAACAAATCAAGCAAAATTTAAAGAAGTAATTTTTTGAAAATTTACACCTAAGAATCGTCATTGTATTCACTTTTTCAATTTAGTTAAAAGTTGTCCTTAGTGAAATTTGTGTGTGTACAAAAATGAATTTCTACTTGAGAAAAAAAAGAAGCTGACACGGATTTTGAAAAAATATCAAGTCGATAATAAATACCGAGGATTAGTTCGAAAAACTGACTTCAAAACTACTATTTCCAAACTTTTCTCATTTTTAGTTTGTCCAAAGTTAATCCATTATTTCACTTATTTATCCTTTTTATAGTAAAGTCCTTCTCGAAAGAACGGGCGATTATTTCGTGCATCAGACCGTTCTCATCAGGAGATAGTAGAAAGAGAGAAATGCAATTCTGCGGGGGGGGAAGGAGAAACCTTTCTCTTAAATTGCATCCTGTTCGGTGTCCAAGGTTGCCGGTTCAGGGTTTCAGAAAATATTATCCATAAACCATTTATATCCTTCTACAGAGTAACTATATTTGTTACTATTAATACAAAGGAAAATATATAATAAGGTGTTCACCTACGAAAATTGCCTTCAAGGGCTAACATGTAAAAAAAATATTATTTCTTTTATGCAAATATTTTTGTTCTTTGATTCATTTAACAATAAATGACTAGTTATCAAAGACGAATAACAATTTTTTGTTCAAAACGATAGTATTGCGAGGAATTGTCATTCAGAAAAGGTGAATTCTTTAGGAACTCTGTTTGAACGTTTCGATTTTAAAAACAGTTAAATGTAAATAATAAATGTATCAGTAGATTAAAGTGCGTTTTGACAACTTTGTCATACTTTTACTTTTAGTAAAATGTCAGGATACGTAGGAACTTTTGCCAGGTCTGTGGTATGAACCGAATTCGATTTTCCTGGGTTGACTATTCTTGATGATCTGATAAACATCAGTGATAGGGGAAATGCCAAAACGGGTCTGACTGTCTAAATCATCAAGGATAGGTAAACCAGGACGATCGATTCTTCGGATAGTAAAATACCCCTTAAAAGTAATAGAACTATCATCAGAACCATGGCGATTATATCTGAAAGAGAAAGTGACAGGTGGCAAGACAAATGCGGTGTTCAAAGACGTGTCCTTTAGTCCAATCGGGCAATTTCAGGTGGATATTTTTCAGTTATACTGGCGTTATATCATCATAGAATGTTTGTATGGCGTGCTGTAATGTAATGTGACTTTTAGACTTGATATGGCCCCACAGAATAAAGTCGTTATTAGAAAAAAATGCACTACCATGTATACAATAAAAATCAGTTACCAGGTAGTAACTGAACACATAATTAACACCCCTCTATTCGAGCTTATGACAAGCAATCGGACAACCTGTTGGATTATTTGAAGATGTGTACTAAATTGTCTAAGTCAACAGGCAGCTATCTGTAAAATGTAATAAACTTGATCTAAACACCTAAGTACACAATGCTAGCAATAAGCATTCGATTTGTTTTTGTACTGTTTCTTAGATTGAGCTCAATGAGGGTTTGTGCTAAATTTTTTTCTATATGGATAATAAAATTATGTTTTTATAAATATGAGGGAGAAAATTTTTTTGAGCTATTCTGTGCATATTAGGTTCTAACAGTGGGAATAAGACGACAAAGAAAAGATAGAAACTTGATTGTACATGAGGTGTAATTGTGTCGGGTCGGTTTCATCCCTTTCGCGGTTAGAGAATTTCGTCTGGGCCGACGTCAATTTGATTTGAAGGGAGTTGTGGGCGGTCATAAAAAGCGCTTGCGCGGGGGTGGGGAGTTGGCGGTGTCAGTACGAGCAGCTGGTCCCAGGACTCAACAGGTCTCGGGATATGTAGGCAGGGGCATGACGACTCTACCAGATGCCCCAGCGGAACAAGCACCATTTGGCCGTTCGCCATCATCTCCATGACTTTCTTACGGCTTGCCTCGACGCTGACGGGACCTACATTTGCACGGCATACAACTCCCGTTGCTACATTATACAGAAGGTGAGAGGTTAGATTCCATATGCTTGTCTGCCGTCAGGAATATGGACTTGATCGCCTCTTCGCCTTTGGGTCCGTCTGGCCCTCCGCCGCTCCCCGTCCCGTCCCTTCAGGTCGCGCGAGCTGTTAACTATTTCATTTATGGATTCGGATAAAACAATCTACGTCCCTTTAACGCCATATTGGATCGATAGGTTGTTGGTTTTGAACGAGGCGCCAATGGGTAAGCACGTGGAGTATGGCCTTCCCATATGGTAGTGCGTTATCCCTATAAAACTGATGAGGGATGCACCTTTCCCTCGAATGCCTGCCGTCCGTTAGTCCGTCGTCTCGAACTGTCAGATCCGACGACTTCGGATTCCCTGCGGTTCTCTCACCTTTCTTGAGCCATCTCGAGTCGCAGTTGCAAAATGTAAACAAACCTTTTAAAAGGTTCGCAAACCTCGAATCAATACCATTGTCAAATTCTTGAGGCGGTCTAAGCATGTATTGACGGAAGATCGCTCTGTATTCGTCATAAGACACT